TCGACTGATGCAGACCCCTGAGCTCTAAGAGCTAGATGAATTTGTTTAACCGGATGAATCTACAATATTACAGACATGGATGTTGTCCAGGGTTAGATTATAGAGGCCTTTATATCCTAAACTGAACTGAAATGTATGTTTTTGAATAAACTTATTCTGTGTGAAGTTTTTAAAATGTAACCTGTGACCCTTGTTCTGGTCACTTCTTGTAGCCACAGAGGTTCCCTGAGTTATGCTAGAGTAGAATAAGTCATCGAGCAAGTGTATAGATGCCACACTTCCTGTAGACTGTAGATGCAGGCATAGGTGCTGGAACTAAGGGTGCTAGGGTTGCAGCTGTGCCCGCTGACATGAAGTGATTTCTATTATATGTTTGGTGCAATGGCTCTCAGCATCCCCACTATTTAAATTGTTCCAGCACTGGCATGTGCAGAATGCGCCTGGGCTGCCCCCCCTCCCCCCTGCCGGCTTCCCCCGAGGCTTTGCAAAGCTGCTGCGGCTTTGCTCCCGGTGCCTCTGGTCTGCTGGGGACCGTCTCCAGCAGACCAGGGACACCGGGAGCAAAGGAGGCGGAGGGGCGCTGGGGTATAAGATGAAACCCTATCTTTTAATTAAAAAATTAGGGGGTCGCCCTATACGCCGGAAAATACGGTATATACAGCGCATTCTGTACAGATGATGGCATGCCGAGAGAGGTTGGCGTGGATTAGAGAGATGTAAAGAGCACCAAACTCTGGAGTCAAAAGTTGTGGGGGACACTTTAATGGAGGAACAATTAGGGATGTTAAAATTCGTTAATTTTTGTAAATGTGTAACTGCTGACATTTTCATGTGGGGGGGAGCCATTGCTCACGGAAAGCTGGCTACCCAGGAACACTAGCTCCCCCTCTACTTCCCCTTTTCATGTGTGTGGGGGAACTGGTGCTTGCAGGGAGTCAGCTTTTAAGCCAGCTCCCTGCATGTGCCAGCTTCCACCTGCCCCCCCCCCCCCCCCCACCACGCTGCTTCCTCTGTGGGAGGCCGCAATGGGAGGGGGGGGGAGATGGCTCTGTGGGAGTGGCACACATGGGTAGCTGGCTGATATAGAGGCAGCAGTGTGGGGGAGGGTGGCTGCATGTAACTGTCAGGGTTAATCGATGAGCCCAGGCAAAATGGGGAGACGTAGGGCTGTGGCTCAGCACTCTAGGGTCCCGTCCCCCCGCTGCCCACAGCAACTGGGAACTGTAGCATCCCCACCATCACTGGTAGCTCAGAGCTCCTGGGGCTCCGCTATCCTATGCAGTCAGGAGCTGCAGGGTACCCCCACAAACCACTGTGTATCAGAGGCAGCAGCATGGGGTGGCAGGCAGGAGCCAGCCTGCAAAGGGAGCAGTGTTTAAAAAACAGCTCCTTGTGCAGACCAGCTGCCTGCCTCCCCACACTGCTGCCTCTGATATGTCCTAGGCTTATCAGTTAATTGACTAGTCGACTACTTTTTCACATCCCTAGCAGACACCAGAAAATGCCCTATCTTGTGTTTTCTCTCTTAGAACATAGAAAAAAGTTCTGCAACTATCTGGACTGGCCTCCAGCACCAGCTCCAGCCTGTCTCCCCTTGCTGCCTCTGTAGGAGGCAGTGAGGAGGGGGGCTGGCAGGTCCGTAGAGCCGGCACATGCAGAGAGCTAAAGACTACTCCCCACGTGTATTGGCTCCAGGTTGCCCCCCTCACCCTCTATGCTGCTGCCTCTCTATCAGAGGCAGCAGCACAAGGTTGGGGGCAGGCAGGGGGATCTGATACAAAGGCAGCGGGGGCAGAGGGAGTGCGTGTAGTCGATAAGATTGATTAATATGCCAAGGCTTATCAGTTAATCGTGTAGTGGACTACATGTTGACATCCCCAGGAAGAACCAAAGGTAGCACATAAACAGCTCACAATTCTATGGGATAAAATTGAAATTGACATGTTCACCTTGGGAAGACGTGATCACCTATGTATAATGGGCTGCTTGCCCAAGTTCCCAGAAGCAAACACTTGAAGATACTGTAGCAACTAGGGTAACTGTTTACCCTTAATAAGTGATGCTTACCGGGTAACAGTTAACTGGTACTCGGGGAGTAGCCTCCCCATCCATGGCGGCCGTGGGTGGCCCCCAGGCAGGGCTGGAAGTGGCAGTGCTGCGTGGGGCTGCTGCTTCTGGCCCCATGTGGGGCTTCCGGCTTGCCACACTTCCTGCAAACTCTCCCTTAGATTTCCTATGCCACCCTTTCTGTTGGGCCAGAAACAAAGACACCCAGAACAAGGCAGTTGCAGGCTGCACCTATGCAGAAAAGTAGAAACTTTTGTTACTTCTTTTTCTGTACATAGTTCCTCCTCATAATAAAGTGTTTAGCTTAACTTCTCTTTGGCCTTTGACTCAGTACTTAGAGCCAGGGATATTTTTCACCTAGAGTTGCCAGGTGTCCGGTTTTGAACCAGACAGTCCAGTATTTGAGCTTTCTGTTCAGGAAACAAATTGAGAAAATCAAAATGAGAAAATAGAAATGTCCAGTATTTTCTAAATAAGATGTAATGTAGATTGTGATGTAATATCAAGTGTGTCCGGTATTTTTGTTGAAACCATCTGGCAACCCTATTTTCACCACCATTCTAGATCTGCAATATTAGGATATGGTTTTGTTCAATTTCTTCTCAGGATTTCCACATCTCCCATGGTCTTTCACAGGTGACAAATGAATGCCTAGTCTTTCATGGCCCACAATTCTGGTGTGAGTACAGTTCATTAGCTTGTTAATAGGTCCCTCTAGGTTAGGGGGCCGTTACTTCTGTGACAGAGAAAACACATTTCCTTTTCAATCCCCATCCTCCTTCTAGAGTGGTACCCAGGGTACCTTCTAAAGCATGGGTTCCCAAACTGGAGGGCGTTTTCCCCTGGGGGGGCATGAAGAAATTCCGGGGGCGGGGGGCACGAGGCAATCCAGTCCCACCTCCCCCAAGTTTTGCTGCTATTTTTGGTTTTCTGTTTTTCAGCCCCGAGGCGGGCGGAGGCGTGAGGGTTTCTTAAAAATCAAAAAGGGGGCGTGATGCCAAAAAGTTCTATAGTGATTACAGTTTGCTATACACCCATCTATATCCAATAGATTGGCAGAGGATATCCAATCTGTTACAGAGTGTTTGCTGATTTTTTTTCTTCCATTACTAGCTATCAAGCTCCCAAACTTTATACTCAGCAGCTGTCAAAGTCCAGTTATAGGATACTTACTGTTGTTCAGATTCTCCAGAATATGAGAAGGCATGGAACTTAGAATGTAATATTCTCCAGGGATAAATATATAAAATCATTGATAGCCATTATGTTATACTAGGATTTTCCCATGTGTTTTCCAAATTATTGTGTTGATGTGTAAAAAACAGTTCATAAAAATCTCCAAACTTCCATTAGAAAATTTTAATGTGTGTTGGTGCATCTCTGCAGGAGTAAAAACTAAACAGACTTTTTCATTCTGATGCTTCATTTTTCAATAAATAAATAAATCAAAGTGAGTTAGTAAGTACCAAAAGAGAGGTCATTCGCCCTCTCTTTTGTCTCTCTCTATTAGCTTTTGGAGCCTGTAAGTACTTACTGTTGCTGGTCACACAGATGTTGCATAACAATGAATGGGTATGTCTTCTATAGTGTGAGGCTTACAGTATCATATTGTTCACATTTGAAATCAATAGCAAACTGTTTAGACCAGGCTACTGCTGAGCACAGAATTCAGGTGATTTCAACTACTGTCAGTATGAATTAAGAGCAGAAAAATACCATTTTACAAATTATTTCATACAGAAATTGAATTAGTCACTTTTAATAATTAAAATTGATAGGAGGAGGTGGATTCCAGCTTTTAGCAGAAGAGTAATTATCAATAGTAATTTGTTCTACAATAGAAAGTTTTATTGTTGAATAAAAGCATCTAAACTGCTTTCATGGGTTAACTTGGCATCTCCTTTCAGTGAGAGGCTAATGTTATGTCTTTGAATGGCCTCTGTTCCCTGTGCCTACCTTAAAAAAATTAAGAATGTTCCTTGGCCCATATTATATTTCTCAAAACATCAGCGTTTTTTGCTTTCTAGTCATTTTGTTCTAAGAGTGGGAATGGTGCCATTGCCTAATCGTCACTAATAAGGGTTGCATTGCCTAAAATTCTACACTTAGTATTGAATAGATATAGCTTTATAGAACAACATTTTATTAAGTTTCACATTCTTGCTGTTATAGGTAATTAATAAAGCAGTTTGGATTTTTGGCCTTAGGTATTTTTTTTCTCAAACTGCAGGTCTTGTGTCTTTTTGGGAGAGTGGGGGCAGGAGGAAAAGTAGCTGACTTCTTCCAAGAGACATGCCATGAAATCAGGCAAAAAAGGGATGTTTTCCCAGCAATTCTATGGTTTAAAAATGATTTCATTCTGTCAGTAGTGTTGCCGCTGGTTTGCTGATCTAGCAGTAATTTATCTATGGTTTAAAAATGATTTCATTCTGTCAGTAGAGTTGCCGCTGGTTTGCTGATCTAGGATTGGTTCACAACTGAATATAATAAATCTTGGGCCAGGGATCAAGGTCAGCTTTTACTTGTCTTGAAATAAATTTGAGCAATGTAACCAAACTTGTAAAACTGAATGAATATTTTTTGGTCATTTTGCTGAACCATTTTTGTTGAGATTTCTTGGATGGATTGTAAATTGCTACTAAAAATACTGCATGTGTCAGGTTAGTCACTGAATTCCACAAAGCTAGGAAAATAGCTTGCCTTATAGAGCAGAGGATTGAAAATATTAAGAGTGAGTATGGAAGTAATCTTCAATATCTTGTATTTTGGAACTATGCTACTTGCTGCTGAAGTTGTTTCATGTAAATAAATTGGGTCTGATGTTATAGTGACAGCCCTCTCCCCTCTTAGTAGAAACCATTGTCACTATTATTGTTGTTTTTTTTCTAATGGAAAGTTAACAGGTGGATTTAAAAAACTGTATTTTTTCTCAGATCCTTCTGCTGATGAAGAAATGGAAAAATCAACCGATACAAGTAAACCAGTGCAGCATGATTTAGACTCTAACCCCGCTTCACTGAAGAAAAGAAAGCAGGTTGGTAAGATTTGTGAATGTATTGATCACAAAGACAGTAATGCATAGTGAAATCAGGCTTTCCACCCTAAATTAATGGTGCATTTCTCCACTTGCTGTCCAGAAGTCTTGCTTCGTACTGCAGTGTTGCCTGAATTATTTGGAAATGATTAGGTGCTAATCTTAAGAGAGTTCAGTCATAACTTTAGTCTCATTTTATACAGATGCAATGGGGAGCATAGCCCATCTCTTTCCCAAGGCTTATGTCAGGTGACTGTGCAGTGGTGTGTGTAGGGATAAGTGATGTGCCAATCTTTTCATGTTGACATTGCCTGAGGATTCTTATAGTTTATCATTTACAGCATCCAGAGAGACAACCTGAACCTGTCCTCGTTGAAATGACCATTAGACTTTAGTGAGGAATGATTGAGTCCTAAGTAATGGACATTTTTAGAAACCAATTTTTCAAAATGTTGCACA